TAGCTTGTGCTAGTTACCAACCCATCCCTTCCTGAAGCTCTCTAAACAAAATTCTACCTATTAGACTTTAATTGTGGGTGCAAGAATGCACTTGCCATTGCTGCTAGATCTTGATAACAATAGAGTATGGAGTTTTGTACAGGCAGATTTCTTGCTTATTTCACTAAACACAGGCTACCTGTTACCTTAGCAATCTTTCCTAGAGAAAGTAAAGGGTCAACAGCTGTTGATGATGTGGTGCCTACCTGCAAGAACATGATAAGACTTTCAGAACCATTAAGATACCAAAAAAGAAAGAAAAAAAAAAGGAAGGAAGGAGTAAATTCTACTTACAATCACATTACATGACCATGTATAAGGATTCACATACATAATCACCGATTCAAATGGAACATGAACTTTATATCTAGATTATTGCTAGTCCAACCAAATTGTCTTGTACAAAAAAATTTACAACTTCAACACCCATAAGATACCAATCACATTTCTTATCTATATATTCTGTGATCCCATTAAGGAGCCACAGCCTACTGCAACAGTAGAAGTTCTAGCTTGCAAACACAAACTGTAAGGTTCTAGTCTTGAGAGAAACCATTACATGCAAGAATTGTAAGTGGCAGTTCTATTTCTAGAGTTTTATCACAGGGAAAAAAAAGATAATGTCCTTTTGAATATCTATCCTAATAACCAACCCCTACGTCCATTGCACAATTTGGTGATGCCCAAATAACCCCAAGTCAAAAACCATAAGGATCCACAGATCTCTATCCAGCTCCTGAATTCAGTAAGCTTTATATGTGCTGCAGATGACAAAAATCTTACGATTTATTAATTCTCAAGCATACGAGTGGCGGATTTATTTGCAGCTAGTGTGATCAAACTAATCTTTTGAGAACCTATTGAACAAAAACACGTTTGCAACCAATTCAAAATTCAGTTACTAAATGTCTTAACAGTTGACTAAATCAAGGATTTAGTGAGCTTTTTCTAGTTTATTCCAATAGAGTAACCAGATGATAAGTATAGGTTTCAAAGAAGATTTTCATATTCCCAAGTCATCGTCAGCATTCTACCTAAAAATAAAACAGTGCTTGCCCAAGTACAGAGCCAATAGACCTTTTAGGATGCACCAACTTGTTCCATTGACGTGTTTAGAAGACAAAAAAAAAAAGAGTACATGTCTTAATTCTACCATATGTTATACTGAAAGAATCACCAAAAGAAAACACATGGTCAAGGTCAAAGAGCATCAAAATAAAGCAACCAAGGAAAGTATTTTCAGTCTTACTGTAGCACATAAGAAGAAAGGGACCAATCCAGTGGAAATGTCATCTGAAATTGCTTTACTGAGTAAATTTGGAGAAAGGGCATAATTTGTTGAAGAGTCTGTTTTTAGCAGCTTGCAATTTTCTGGATGGATCCCTCCTATCTGTCATTAATTAGAAAAAAAAATATCATAGAATATAAAAGACATTACAAATAGCAAGAATAACTTCACCATGGTAAAAATATATCCATAAATACACACATCTCTATATAAGTGTAAAAATAAAATAAAATGAAGAACATGTGACTGCTGAATGGAGACCTTGAAAAACTCCATGGTAATGGAATATTATGGGAGTTTTTATTCCTAATGCAGCTGGAACAATCGGTTTTAGTACCCCACCAACTCGGTTTCCAGCATGTACTTGACGCAAATTTAAAGAAACACAAGTGACTGGCTTTAGAAAAAATAATTGTCTGTGTTTGTATGATTGCATCAGTCGTTCTTTAAATAATAACATGTAATTTTATCTGATTTAAGAATATGAAAATTTGATACACAATGCAATGTAGAAAATGAAAAATTGAAACCCCCCCCCCCCCCCCCTCCTTCCCCTCGGGCCTGAAACCCCTACTCAGAAAATGAATGCTTATAAGCATCATGTTCAGAATACCTTTTCTGTTGGTCTTCTTGAGAACATGTGAACAATGGAAAGTTCATGGTATGAAAATGCTCTGTAAGTTATCAAGCAGCTGGAAAGGTAGCTTTTAGTGCTGCACCAACATAGTTGCCAGCTTGTGCTTAATTTAATACGAAGTGACATCCATTGACCAAAGTTAGAGAAATTATCGTGTAGAGCAAAAGTAGCTTGACCAAAGGCTACAGGTAAGAGTAAGACTATGGAATAAGAAGTTGAAATGCTGTGTTGGGTCATATATGAAGTGCATTTACTATCACTCACCTCACATAGTACCACTTGAATATTTATACTTGATTTACGAAAAATGGGCACATAACACAGTCATTACAAACAAAATTTTGGACTCCACCCCCCTCATCCTCCAAAAATAATCATGACTCAATAGTTCAGTATAAAGCATCATCTTCGGAATTTTTTGTGTTATTAGTGGGTGCAATTTTATGTATGCTTGTGCGTAGTTTTACAAAGATACCTGGCAGGCTTTTTGCAAAGCAGAGTGTGTTTGATCGGATGCATAAACAACAAGCTTTTCAAGAGCATTTTTTCCAAGCTTCCTCAAGACCCTATCACGAGCAGCCAGAAGCACAACTAAAACAGCTTCACTTGCAGTGCCCTGTATCACTCCACCACCTTGTCCTGCTTTGCAAAATTGCACCAACCACAAACATCAATAATTTAAACTCTTTTGACCATAACTCTGGCATCAAAACTGCTTATGCAAGTGTCCTATGAGTGAATCATTGTACAATGCCATCTTCAGACAGCTGTTGAAACATTGCAAGAAACATTTCAGAATATCAACTGAAAAGACTGAACACAGCTGGTTTCTGCTATACCATTGACAAATTACTGAGCATTTTGTGGCATCCACGTGAGCACATAGACCAAGTTTGTGCGGGTATCTTGTTAAAATTGTATGACAAAAAGTCTGCCGCTTTTCCCTAAGAACTTTAACATTCATTCATCAGAACCCTTACCAGTAGAGAGAAAGTCTTCCGGTAGCTTGAGCAATTTACCAAGCCAATCTAGAACAATCATTTCAAGCTCAGTTGCAGCAGGAGATGTTATCCAGCTAAAACCCACCATATTAATACCAGCACTAAGCATTTCTCCCAAAAATCCAGCAACACTACTGTTAGAAGGATAATAAGCAAAATAACTCGGGCTTTGCCAATGGGTCACCCCCGGTAAAATCTTTGCTTGAACATCTGCATTCACATCGAGAAAGTAATCAATGGCAAGAAAAAACAACCAAAAAAAGTTCATTTTTTCCCTCTCTTTGTTTCTCAAATAAAGCAAATTCACCATCAAGAACATTTTGCAACGTTTCAGGTTGATTTGGAGCAGAATCTGGCAGAAGTTCGCGTAGATATCCAGGCTGCACACACAGAAAAAACCAATTTGCCACCAAATTCACACACACTCATACACAACAAAAAGAGAGACCATAAAGAAATCAAAAGGGAAAGAAACCCAGATAAATTTAATGAATATTAAAGCTAAGGAATGTTAAAAACCTCAACTTGGCTGAGAACAGGGAAATTCTCAATGGATTTGTAATAATCAGCAATAAAATCAACCATTTTATGTGCATTCTCTCTCAGTTGCTCTGAATCCATTGGTTGCAACCCTTTACTCTCCCTAAAAAGAACATTAACATCAAGATTAATCCATCATGAACATGCGTAAACATAGTATAAAATCAAAACATACACTACTACTGTAAAACTTCCAAGACTTACATGTTTAGTGAAATGTGTACTACCAGAGCTTGAGCTTGAGCTTGAGGAATTACGACTTGAGACTATATTCTTTAAAGTGAGAAACAAATGCACTAACACTCTGGTGGGTTTTAACGGAGAAAGGTATGTTTTTTAACACAATCGTTTGGACGGATGGATAGGTAGGCAAGGTAAGGGAAGGGAAAGGAAGATGGAGGGAGCTTTGATGGTCTATATCTTCATGCGTAAATTATGAGTCAGTCCCTTTAGTTTTAAAAAATAAATTAAATAGTCCCTCTATATTGTTAATTTTATGGAATTTGTAAAACTTTACATACAGTTTTAGGACGGCTTGATTTTTTCAATCTTAGCTGAAAAAGAGATTCTAATAAGCCAAGAGATCTAAACGATATTACTGATATCATGATTGTCTGGTTTTTTAAAACTGATCTATTTTAAAGTAATAGTTAAGATTATAATAGTAATTATTTTTTAAAATATTTTTTATTTAGAAATATATCAAAATAAAAAATTTTATTTTAAAATTTATTTTTGATATGAATATATTAAAATAATTTAAAATTATAAAAAAATAATTTTCAAAAAAATGTTTTTGAACACAAAAACCAAAAACTATATGTGAAATTATGTAATTCAAAAATTTAATCATGATTTTAGTAATTAGGGTATTCATCTGACTTATTTTGATGGTATTTTTTGTTTCCTTTGTTATTAATCTTTCCATATTATTATTTTTTTTCTTTTCTATTTTTTTAAAATAAATTATAAAATAACATAGAATTGATGAAAAAGATTAAACTATAAAAAGGATTTAAAAATATAAAGATTATATATATAAAATTTTTAAACCATGAAAACTAATTAATTTTTAAAAATTACAGGGACTAAGATATAATTAACTCATTTCACAAATCAGTCCGTAGATTTACATTTTTAAAAACTTTGTTCTTGTTTTTTTAACAATTTTAATTTAAAAACATTGCTTTGAAACATCATCATTTTCTTGAAAGAAAAAGAAAAAGGAGTCAATCCACCATAAGTACTAAACACAAACTAGAGTTAAAAAATTTAACTCGGGATAAAGTTACAATTTTGAATAAAAAAAAAGTTAATATTAAAATAGATTGCAAGTCAGCTTGAGTTTTCATCTGGATAAAATTAAATCAATTATTTTATTTTTTATTTTTTAATCCAAATTAATCTAGGCCTGCAATTGACCCAAGAAGTCTCTCCAGGTTTTACAACTACACAATTGTTTTGCTTTAAAAAAAACACAAAAAACTCAACTAAATGGAAGTGCCATGAAAAAGTGTTTTATTGCCCTGTTGACATTTACAAGAAGGTGGTCTGATGGGTGATGAAGGGAGATGGGGTTTCAAAAAGCCCTAGATCATACTCCCCATGTAAGAAAGACAGACTATGATCATATTGCCTGTGTCCTCAACTGATACAACAAACATATCATTGATGCGAGGCATGTGAGGAAATGTCGCTATATCTCTATCTACATTGCAAAATTCAGTTTCTTTTTCGCAACTTTCAGCTGCATATATCAGTTCACAGTTGATGGCTCCGAAAGCTGTTGCGTTTGACATAATTTTTTTGCTAAGTCAATAACAATGGAAACAGAGACCATCATCCTGCATTACTTGGATTATGCTCATTACCACCTTGAAAAATTGTTCCAGTGCTTGCAAATTGTTAAGTTAGAAGCTCCCGTGCTCGAAGCTCAACAAACGAGAGTCTGACAAAACGGCAAATAGTTGTGTGTCTACAAAATACTGCAGAACACAAAATCAATACGTGAAAGCAATTGAAAGTCTTGTGATCAACCATTTCAAAAATCAAGATTGTATATATTAAGCTCAGTTTGAGAATCTAGAAGCATGTATCCAAATTTTAATGTAGTACAAGTTCTTTTGTTAACACGGCAACCATGCAGTGGCTGCGCTAGCATTAACAAAGATTTGTATGTTTTTGATATTATAGTAGCTTTTATAATTGTAGTTTGAAAAAATAAATTTTTAAAAAGTTATAAACAGTAATTTTTTTTCTTAATCAGGATTTCAAGAGAGTTTTCATTAGGACACATGCAAAACTGTGGTGTGTTTGATTAATCAAACTCAGTTTTATTCATACCTCACCGCAATATCAAACAGGCAGGCATTATTGGGCAAAAAAAGTTGAGAAGAAGTGTGAAAGAAAATGGACAGCGAAGGACTAAAAGAAAATGAAAGTTACCTTAATAAAAGATCGGTCCCTACTATTAAAGGAGTCAATGAAGCTGTCTTTGAGAAGTAAAGAAACCTGAAAAGGATCAATTCCAGATAAGTATATACTTGGAATTGAAGGTACTTAAATTTTTTTTTTAATGATGACCTCGGGTGTTCTTACCCTGTCATTGTTTGATTGCACACTTGTTATTGTATAAGATCTCAAATCTGAACAAAGAGACTCCAAGTAGCGTCTCATGACAGTCAAAAATTGTGTTGCTGCTTCAGCCTGGAATTATCAAACATAATCAGCTACCATATAAGAGTGCAGGATGAGAAGAAATCTAACAGTAAAGATTCGATGAAGATGCGAAGAAATCTAACAGAATAATGATGGTGGTGGTGAGTTTAACAATGACAGTAGTGATGATCATTATGACGAAAATGACAGCAGTAATGGTTGAGATGGTAGTCTTTTCTTGAGAACAAAAATAGTGATGGAAGACTATTCCATAAAAATCATGCATTGAGGTTTTCCCTGTAATGATGTGCAAAAGCAATATACACTGGCCCCACACCGTTCTTACAATAATTTTAATCAACATACAACCGGATAAACTTTGCTTAAAGAAGCCACCATGCCTGTCAAAGCTTTTGTGAAGCTTAAGTTTCCAAGAATAAGACAGATAGGCATACAAGTAATACCTGCACTTCATTACACCTATACACAGGATGCCTTTTAGCAACCGAGCTTTCTAATGATAGCCTGTTGTGCAATGGCCGAAGTTCAGAGACAAGCTCTTTATACCGTGGAAGTGTCGGCAAGTGACACATTTTCACCTTCAGTGGAGAGGAAACAGTAAGAACAAGAACAATTGAAGAGTATCATGTTTAATGAAGTTCAGGCTCTAGTATATAAAAGAAGGGAACGATCAAAAAAGCTTCCCAACCTGGTTTTTGAGCACATTAACATGAACAAGGTTAGAGGTTTTTATCTTCAAGTCAGCAGGTCTGTGCTGTATACCAACCTGTAAGAGAAAAAGGCTATATTAAAACATTTGACAGGAATTTCTTAGTGTTCTGGATAATTTAGCTCAATGTCTTGACCAGCATATATTTCTTGGATCATACTTCACGTAACAAACCTCCAATATCCAATTTTATATGACGGGTTAACTCAAATCACTACTGCAAAAAGTTGCATAAAGCATGTTTCCAAGTGTTTGAAATAAAAAGTTCAATGTCAGAGAAATTGGAAACTTCTCACTGAAGACAATGATTGTAGACCTACACTAGAACTTATATGATATATTTTTCAAAACTATTTCAAATGTTGATCAGAAAAACAAGACCAAAACATACTGGAGAGCTCATAAACTCTCATAACAATAGATAAGTTAACGATGATCGGAGCAGGATTGTTGAGAACATGCACCTTTGCCCATGTCCTACTAAACTGATCCCTCAAAAAAATCTGGGGCAAAAAACCCACCTCCCAGTGCTTAATCTATATATACCATTCTGGTCTTTTTTTTTTTAAGGACATCTGCCTTGTTGGGTGATCCATTGTTCTGTTTAACCATCAACCTCTACTAGAAAAAATGAATCACGGTCTTACTCACTTTGCAATGAGCTTTTCTCAATCTTGAGTGGAAGATTTTGAACTTGATTGAAAGGTTCAGTAAGTCTCATAAAAAAAGTTTCCAACACCTTGACAATTTACGCGAAGTGATGAGCAAAAATGTTAAACTCATCGAAACCTTCATGGCAAGACATGTTTATGCATGAAGATATGAAATAATATGTTAATCCTGCGTTTCAGCCTCATGATATATCAACCCTTATCCCAGACCAGATTGTCCATGCTAAATCATCTTTCCAACTTTCCAGCATGCATCAACTCCGAAACCTTGTAATTTTCCCCGTAGATTTTTTTTTTTTTTTGGGGGGGGTTAATGACCAAGAAGTGACATTTTGCCAGACTGACAAGTAATTGATTCCCAGTAATTCAAAGCTTGCGAGCTTTTCAGCTACAAACTGACAAAGGATTTTTATGGAGATGGAAGGAAACTCCCTTCAGAAGCATCCAAAACTGGCAACAGCCCAACACGTGGCCAACAATAGAACTTCCAGCCACCATTTGATGCCAGACTCAGTGTTAAAATCTCAATTCTCTTCTATCATCTCCAATCCTTTAAAATGTTGCTTGCCCATTTGACTTGTGATCACAGAAAGGACAAGATGATGACATCCTAGTTCCCGAGATAAATAAAATAATAGAGCACAGTACAAATTAAAAGGAAGAAACACAAAAAGCACAGACCAATACAATTGCATGGTAACTGCCTTAGCAAAAAGAGAAAAGGTTAATATCTGAAACTCACTATAAAGGGAACAGGAGCATCAAGAAAATCAAGCATCTGCCGTGGCAAGATCTGCAAAAGATCAACATAAATTTTAGCCAAAAAAAGTCACGCCAAATCCATAAGCATCTAATAGAAGCAGAAGTGAAGAATATTAAAATTCTACCAAACCAAAACCTAAGCAAAGAAAGAAAGAAAGAAATTCCAGCATCCATTTTGACCAAAACCAAGAAGCTACTGCATCTCAACACAACTTCACATATCCTGAACAGACCACCACCAATTATCTGATGCAGTATTCCAACTCCAGTTAAGCTTAATGTATATTCAGAGAGTAATATTTCAATCTTTTCTGTCTTTTTAACATTTCCTTTTGGCTTGCACATCAGGATTTTTAACAAGGATTAGTTATCCATTGTTCTTTTATTATGTCTCATTCATTTACATGAACTTTCAGTGACACTTTGAGGAGAAATAATTGAGGATGTGTGACATTATCATTATTTTAGCTAAATCCATGATGTTCTCCATTGGCTCAAAACAGAAACTACAGGGGTATGAAAATTATGAAACTTACTGGGAGCAATAGACTCTGCCATTGAAATGGACGAATCATGGGGACAAGGGATAAAACAACTGCAGATAAAACACCCTGCAACAAATGGAACTCGAGTCAGGACAGATAACCAGTTCAAAACAGCTACTTTGCATAAGAAATTGTCCAGAGCTGCAAATAAATATGCATGCGCGCATACTCTATAAATATGTGTACAAGCATGTTCATGAACAAATAATTCATCTGTGGGTTGGCAAAATTATCTCCAATAACAACATTAACTTACCAGGTTTGGGCACACTACCACCACTTGTTTTTCCAGTAATACGCCTGCAACCAGTGCCAAAACCTGGAAGAAGAAGCATATATCAGACTTCCAACCACCAATCTGAAAATGCAACATGGAAGAAATGGCAATAGGATTGCCTGAACAAATGGAATAAGATTTCAACTACAATGGAGGGTTAAGCTTGAAATTGTTTCCTAACTACCTGCATAGTTTCTCATGATTCCTTTTCATAAAAACAGAAATTTTTGAAAGAAACTTAATGGTTATAATTGCTGATAAACAGTCCTAGCCTGAATCTACAAGACCAAGACTCCACCTCCATATTACACAGCAACACTTTTCGACAATTATGCAGCGTCAAAGGAATTGATTAGAAATACGAGTGCTTGCTTAAGGATGTTGCAAGTGGTGAAGCAGACAGTTGGAAAAAGATTGAACACACAATATAACTTCATATGATAGGGACTTTACATTTTCCAGTGACAGAACCCGACATACAGTTGCAGTTGTCCATATTGACAGCGCCAGAGCTTCCTCAGCAGCAGCTAACTTCGCATTGACCTTTTTTACAGAATACCAAGATTAGAATATCAAGAAAGCATTTTTAATTATTTATCAAGGAACATAGTCTAATGACAATCAAAACGCTAAGAAATACCTCGGCTGCTTCGAATGAAGCTAGATAATTATTGCAAAATCCAAGGTCAGAGGTTGGAGGCCGCTTATATTCGATAGCTTGTAAATGATCAAGAGGCTGAAAAACTATCCCGTTTCCTCGTTGGGGAAGAGGCATTGCATGATAACCACAAATTATCTGTAGCAAATCATTTTTGTTTTCCTACCCAGGATCCAAGAGGTAGCGTTCAGGAAAAAAAAAAAAAAGATGGAATGGAACTCGGTATGTCACATGGGTGAACAAATGTATAAACAACAAGAACAATCATTAACTAACCTTAGCCCATTCCAATATCAAGTCATCACCAAAATCATTTTCATGATCTGGGAAAAGTTCATCATCATCGTCCTCTGATACCATGCTTCTAACTGAACTGTCAAAGACAAAAATATATCACTATTGTACCGAAATAACAAGTGCCTTGGAGTTGCATGGCTTAATGGAGTTGAGACACATCGAGAACTCAACACATAGTTAACATGTGACAAATATAACGACTACCTAAATAAGGTATCAAAACTTCCAAGACGATCTAATCTGCGGCTCCTAGAGCAGGAAAAAATCCCAAGTACAGGAGAAACATGACCATTTTCATCACCTCCATAAATTCTTTCCAAAGCATCACAATGGTTCTCCGGAGACAGGGAAGCATAATCATCAAAATATTGAAAACACTTCCTGCCATCCTTATCTACTTCCCTTGTTTGGCTGGAATCTGAAGCCTCACTAGCAGTAACACTTTCAGGAGATTGAGGTTCCCAAATCTTCGGTGATAAGGTTGCAATCACATCATCAGATATAATTCCCGCAGCAGCAGCAGTAAGGGCTACTGCACTGTCAACAGGTATTGCAGAAGCCATCCAATCAGCATTGTACTCTCTATCAAGACAGTCAACATTTTCATTCATTTGCCCGTGCTGTTTAGATACTGAAGGCATGCAAGCAGTGAGTGACATTTCACTAACAAACTGAGTTATCCGATTCAAACGCTCCTGTGCAATGATACTGCATCCATGTAAGTAAATGTAGTGAATTGCACTGAAGTAACTGAACCTATGAAAAACAACCAGACAAATTCATAAGACAAATCAATGTCCAGCCAACAGCATTAGCAGTGAATCTTTTTCTTTGATTTCCAAACGTTTAAATCAAGATCACACAAAATACATCAAGATAACCAACTCATTTATATCCCAAAAGGTTTTCCCAATTTGGTCCTTTTTCCCCTCCAAAATGTGTTCTTCCCATCTTACCTACTTCAATTTTCTTAATTCTATTTTTTCAAAAAAGAAAAAAAAATGAAGAAGAGATGAGAATGATTCCAACAAGCTGGGAGGTCAAGGGATTGTCTAATAAATTTTGGAACAAGAGGGGCTAATTTTTTGTTTCTTCAAAACACAGCTACTAAATTTGATTTTCGTATTGATAGTTCAGTGGCTTGGGAGAAGGAGAATGCACAACTTAAAACCTCCTTTGAGGCCAAGAGAGCATGCCAACTTATGCTTTGCAATGGCCATAAAAGGTATGTGTGATATGTAAGCAAGATGAAGAACAAAAAAGGAAAAGCTTACCTTAAGTGAAAATATGAACGAGAAATCATCTCTGCCCAAATGTTCCTGCAACAAAATGAATGGGAATGTTGTGTTTTGACTGTAAGGTTAGAGAAGTTTGAGAGAAAAATGCTTAACTAATATTAGATTTCAGGGATAGCATATCGCATTAGCATTAACTAGCAAAAACTCTACATGGAGATGACTTGCCACGGTCTTTTTTCTAAAAAATAACCCAGCTTCATTCAGCTTGAACATGGACAGTATCTGTCAAAAGATGTCTCAACTAAACTAGGGAGCTGAAGAAGAGAGCAACTTCTAAAGCAATGTCAATGAAGACACTAAGTAATGAGAAATTCATAACAAAGGGTGTTGAAAGCACATGAGATATCTTAAATATTCTAGACTCCTGTTTTCATTCCTATTGTGCTGCGTCTTCACAATTGTGTATGAGCATATATTTCAATACATAAAAAGAAGTGTGGGTGAAGGAAATCGTAATAGAAATATAATCCAGAGAACAAACTGATAACAAATCACTGCTGCTGCTTATCTTGGTAGCTTCAACCTTGCAAGTGTGCATGATTGAAGAGTGGATTCTCTAGCAAAGGAGGGAAATATATACGAGTCAATTCCATAACTAGTGGAATTATCAAGTCAGTTTCCAGTGACTGGGAAGAATTGCACCTATGTAAAAGGTTCAATAATCATGATCTTGGTTGAAGGCCATGTAGCAAACATAGAGGTGCTAGCCAGTGAATAAGTACGGTAAATAAACGGGAAGTAAAACATTGCTTTTGATGTCAAAATTAACATGGATTCAGTAATTAACTTCCAGGCCCTAGATTGTGCTATCTAGGAATCGTAGCCTCCGCTAAGTTACTCTTATCAAAACATTGTTTTTAATAGGATAGTGCAGCTCTGCAATCACACAAACTATGGGGATTTCTTGAAGAAAAGAGAACAATGTGGACGGGATGCAGTAAGCAAGCAAGCAAGCTTGGAAACAGTAAGATATGCAAGGTGAGAGATGGTCTAGCATACCTGTCCATAAACAAGTTCGTTTAGTTCACTCAATGATGGAGTCCTCTCCAACAACCGTGTCTGCACCATGAAAATCCAACAGAAATGAAGAAGAAGATTAAAAAGGAGAAGATGACCAAGAAATCTGTATATTGGGACCGCCTAGTACAGTTACATTAGAGAAAAAAATATATGGATTTATAAGACTAGAAAGTGCCTCCCAACCTCAGGATTGTGATGGGAACATTTGATATGTACTAGACCTTCAGCCCCCGCACAATGAAGATCAATTAAATTTTTGAAAATAAAAACCGAGATCCTTGAATTACAGGTGACACAGCGAGAGTGATTAAGGGGAGAGGTGGCAACTTCAATGCCCAAGCAGTAATGAAGGGGGCCTAAATCTTTCATAAAGACGGTGTTTGTCTTCCATTATACATAAGAAAATTAAGTTGTGGAAGTTAGCTCCTTTCCTCTCTGCACTTTAGCTACTTTATGAGACTGTCAGTAAAGAAAAAAAGACACTTTCCAAAACCATGTTCTTGAGTGTCTTGCAGCTCTAAGGTCATGGTTTTCTAGAGGTTGCAAACGCCCATTTGGAATTATAAACCCATTTTTAGCTCAAAACCTTTCGTTTTCCAACTCTACTACAATCCAAACACGTACTCTTAGACAGTGGAAGATCTGATATTCTATATGCAAAGGACACATGATCAACGATAGTTGAACTTGGCTGGCTGCATTTTTGTCTATTGTTGGAATGCGACACCATGGCATCATACAACAATGATCGATTTACAAAAGAGTGAGAAAGCAAATGTTTTAAAGTCATATGAGTGAGGAATACATTGCATGTAGTCTGTACAGTAACTTAAAATAAGCATGAACTGAAGAGCCATGTAGATTAAAAATCACTGAGACTAAAGCTTAATTCATAGATGATCCATGTGAACATCAAACCTTGACACCTCCAGGAAAACAGAAGGCAGCTAAATCCTTTGAGCGCATAGCTAATCTCTTCCCAGGAGGATATTTAAATAGTATCTGGAGCAAAAAGAAAGTAGTTAAAACATGAAAATGAGCGGCAGTAGAACAAAAGGCAACTAGGAAGCACAATGATAATAACTAAAACATTTTCTCAAAAAGGAGCTAAATACTTTCGGCAGGAGAACAAAAAGGCAAATCCCCTCTATCACAAGGACTAGGAAGCACAATGATAATAGCTAAATCATTTTCTTAAAAAGAAGCTGCAGGGGAGCTAAATACTTTCGGCATGCAAATCCCCTCTATCACAAGGACTAGGAAGCACAATGATAATAGCTAAATCATTTTCTCAAAAAGAAGCTGCAGCGGAGCAATTCCACAAACTTAAGCAGAAGTGCCAACTACTATCTGGGTTCAATCAAGTATGAAACTGTAGCCAATGCCAAACCATATTCAAATTACTGGTGTGGCTAACCTGAGGTTCCAAAGTTGGAAATGAAGGTGCCCGTCGCTGCATCGAGTTGAAATCCAGCAAGCCAGACTTCTCCATATCCGACTCCCACTTCTTCTCTCTTGCAAATGCATCCTCCACTTTCTCGAGATTGGCATCCGGGTGAAGCCCCGCAACAATGAAGTGTTCAAACAGTGATGTGGGCTCCTTATATTTTGAATGATTCTACAACATAATTAAGCACACATAATTCACTAATTATAAAAAAAAGAAAAAAGTGCTAATCTCAACATAAACACAACAGAAATCGGATGATTGTTTAGTTTAGTACCAGAGATTTAGAATTAAACTGATACCATTGGCGTTTCTGATTTGCCAAGACCTCAGGATTAAAACTCGGCATGTAACCTCGTTCCCTCGAATCACCACCCCAGCGCCAAGCATTTTGCATCCGAGTTTTCAATTTACGAAAGCTACTGCTACGTAAACTCCCCGCCCCATTTGTGAAAATTTCACTCTGGCTACGCTGCATTGACTTAAAACCAGGATCAGTTCCTGGGTAGACGCTATGCAGTGCCTCACCAGCCACCCTAAATGCCTCCTCTGATAAATGCTGCAACACCGAATAAGGCGAATGCGGACGTTCTTCTTGTGATTCACCATCTCCTTTTGTGCCCATTTTCTATCTTTTAGCAACCAAGTACGTCACTTATCTTGTCATTAACCTCTCTAGATCACGCTTGTCCACCATCATCAACATACTAATACCCCAAGCCAGACGTCAAGTAACAAGCCATTTGAATCTTCCTTCCTTGAACGTTAAGATTTATGACATACGCAGCAGAGCAGGATCAAGAAAACCTGTAAAGTTGAATCGAAAAGAACAGAAATAAATCAAGAATTTATTAACTCAACGTTTGTGTGCATGTTATTGAGAAAATTCAAGAAAATTAAAGAAAAAAATGTGTAACGGATGATTGGAAGATTTTGAATTCAAGGGAAAGAAGTTAAATGCAGAATTTATGAAGTGATGGTTACAAATTTTGGTAAAGATGGTTCATAACAGGCTTAATTGGCTTACCTTTGTGATATGGGTATGGAGGTGGAGAGAAAGGGTGAGGATTTTTTTGGTTAGCAGAGGGAGGGAGGGAGGGAGGGAGAGAGGTTTGCTAAAATTGGAAGGGAGAGCTGCAGGAAAGGAGAAAGGGAAGTTAGACACAAAGCGAAGGAAGGAGATGGAGTGGTAATGGTTTTTTCAAAAAAAAAAAAAAAATCATGAGAGGGAGAGAATACAGCTTGAGTGGATGTTGATAATTTTCATTTATTGCAAAAACTACCCTCTTGCTTCAAGTATTCTATTTGGTACCCATTTGACATTGCTGTGCATTGCCATGTATTTTTAGAGGGTGTTAATAAACATGATAATGGCTTTTTAAAAGTATTTTTATTTAAAATTATATTAATTTTTTATTTTTTATTTTTTAAAAATTATATTTTTATATTAATATATTAAAAAAATAAAAAATATATATTTTTAAATAAAAAAATCAATTTTTACTCAAAGCATTACTAAAAAGAGGCTTCATCAACAATAATATTAAGAAAATATTTGAGGCTCTGTTTACATGTAAATTTTTTAAAAAAAAATTGAATTGTTTTTATTTTATTTTTTATTTTTTTGATATATTGATATTAAAAAAAAATTAAAAATATAAAAAATATTATTTTAATATATTTTTAATAAAAAAATATTTTTAAAACTAACCACAACTATACTTTTAAAATCCTTTAAAATAATATTTTTTTATTATGATAAACTGCATTACAGTCACTTTTTTTTTGTTTTTACTAAATAGTTTCAGGCAATAAATTTTGAAATAACTTTGAGTAATTTAATTAAGATTAAAAAATAGTTTTTTTTTGTTTTTTAAGTTTGAATATTGGGCTCGATGCTAAGAAAAAAGTTCATTCTTCTAAATACAACAAAATCAAATCAAATAGATAAAGAAGATGTGTGTTATGAAAAAACAAAATAAATTAAAAAAGAACATGAAATAAATATAAAAATTAAATACATAATTTCCAAAACCACGAAAAACTTAACTACAAGATCTATATTATAATTGACTCATTTTTCAAATGCTTACGTGTCAACAGCCCTTCATATTCAAGCACGATCCAAGAAAAGGTGTTTGATTAAGGAGTTGCTTCAAAGGAAGGGGTGTGATTGATGAATGGAAACAAATACGGGGCTTTTCCATAATTACCAAATAACTTTGATTCCAAAATTAAAACAATAGTAATTCAAATAACTTCCAATAACGAGAAAGTGCATTTGACTTTGGACCAGCGGCGTGTCGCGTCAAGCTCATCAACCGTTGACTGTATGCGGGCTCTCGGCTCTGAACTTTACTTACTGTGTTCTTCAGATGTAGCTTCTCCTTAGATCTAAGCCGTTGGATTTAGACTTTTGGGTCCCGCATAAATTATCGAAATTGCCCATTTCACTTTCTGCTTTGGGGCGTTTATTGCACGCTCAGGTTAGAAATCTATAAAACATTAATTCCATGCAAAAAGGACTATTATTTCCATTGTAGTACAGCATTTGCTTATGTTTACAAGTGACATTTAAGTTTTTTAATCTCTCATGATTGATAACACAACAATAAAATCAACTTAATTTTGTTACTTCTCTTAGCTTTGATTATAGAATAAAAGTTGTATGAATTTTTTAATAGAAAAAAATAAAATAAATCATAAATTTTCCCCATCCAATCCAACCATAAATCAAGAATGAAATGATATATTTACATGAATATCTATTTTTTAAAATAAAAAAATATATAATCTTTAGTGTTGTTCTAGAGGGTGTTTGAAAAAATAATATGAATTGTTTTTTAAAATATTTTTTTATGAATATAATAAAATTATTTTTTATTTTTTTAAATTATTTTTAAATATAAAAATGTTAAAAAAAATTCAAATATATATATATATAATAATTTTAATTCAAATGTTAAAACAATTCAAATATATATATATAATAATTTTAATTCAAATAAATTTTAAATTTAAATTTTAAAAAATATAATTTCAAACATGTTGCAAACGAAATATTAAACCTCTGGACAAAAGTTAGCGTGCAAGCAACGCGCGTTATTGCTGTGGACAGCGTCATGAAACCAGGCATTAATAGTGGGAAAACCGTGCGAGATTGCACATGCATGCTGCCGTCCTTCTTTCTCGAGTACTGAAATTTATTAAATTTTTGAATATTTTAAATTTGTTTTGAAAGTAACTTTGTGAGAAAGATTCTCTCTTTGCTGAAAGCTAAGCAGATTGTATATCTTGATTAATTGATTAATATATAATATATAATATGGGATTGCTATTATTATTATTATTATGTTTCGTTACTATTATGAAAAAAAAATATAGGAGAATAACATAATTATTCTATATCTCATATTTTGAAAATAAAAAATTTATTTTAAATTTATTCTAATAATATATTTATTTTATTTTTTCAACCAATTATATTTTTATTTGTATTATCTCTTCTTGTTTTTTTTAGAATAACAACCACACATTAACCTAAATTATCATGTAAGAATACAGGGTGTGAGAAATGAAGCTCGAAGAGAACTTTTAGCCCTGAACATTTTCTTAATTATTGATGCGCTGTAATTTTTTTTATAGAAAAAAGTATTTTTAAACCACTTTATATAATAATTGAAATTAAATATTCTTCAATGATTTTAAAGAGATGTTATTTATACTGATAAGATACCTTCAAAGGAATTTAATATTTTTTCTTAACATGACATCATTAGCTAATTAACAAGCCTGGATATTATCTTATAACTTTTTTGGGATTGAATTTTTATTTAAAAATACATTAAAATATTTTTTTTTAATATTAACTTATCAAAACAACAAAAAACATAATAAAAAAATAAAATTAATTTTTTATTTTCTTTAAATACGACCCAACTACAATTTCAAACAACACATGCATATCAGGAAGACTCGGGGTTGCGGGAGGGAAAAGTGGGGAAGGGGTTTGTTGAGGATGGCATAACCAGTTATCAGTGCAGACGATGTCTCTTCTTCTTCTGTTTTTTTCTTTCTGTTTTTTATGGTCGATGGACCACCACCTACGGCGGCGGTGGCGGCGGTGATGCACCAACCAAAAGGGCAAGGGATGCATTTAATCCGGACCTCCGTCCCTTAAAGCCCATACAGAAATGCAAGGTTGTCTTGTTCAAACGCAGTAGCCCATAAATACAATACCCGAGGGAAGAACATAAATTAATTAAAGAGAGTTTAATGCACAGGCGTAAAACCCATATCAGTTTTGTCAGATTGAAAGTTGACTTGGAATTTTAAACAAATCTAGGTTTGAATTTTTTTTTGATTAATTTAATAAAATATTTAAATTTATAATCATTAAAGGACTCAGTAATAATTTTCAAGCACGGTGGATTAACTTATAATCAAGTTCAAATCCACGACAAAATATTAATTTATTATCCGAAAGGTTTCCAATACTCTATTTTTTTAAAAATCTGTCAAGCTTATACTTGCATGAAAATCAAGAGTCCCAAATCCTAAGATTTGAATGGAGATTTAAGAATGTATTTGAAAGCATGGTTATAATTATATTTTAAAATAATTTTTATTTTAAAATATATTAAAAAATATATTTTTTTATTTTAAAATAAAATATTTTTAATATCAATATATTAAAATATTTAAAAATACAAAAAAATATTAATTTGAAATAAAAAATAAAAATATTTTTTAAAAAAATATTTTTAAAATATAAAAATAAAGATGAAAAATCTTGCCCTTGTAATTATGTTTTTTTAAAAATATTTTTATTTTAAAAATTAAAATTTGTTCATAAACTTGAATTACACTATAGCTACAATCGTGTTCCAAATAGAGTTACTCATGCTTTTTAAAAATATTTTTATTTTAAAAATATATTATAATATTTTTATTTGAATTACACTATAGCTACAATCGTGTTCCAAATAGAGTTACTCATGCTTTTTAAAAATATTTTTATTTTAAAAATTAAAATTTGTTCATAAACTTGAATTACACTATAGCTACAATCGTGTTCCAAATAGAGTTACTCATGCTTTTTAAAAATATTTTTATTTTAAAAATTAAAATTTGTTCATAAACTTGAATTACACTATAGCTACAATCGTGTTCCAAATAGAGTTACTCATGCTTTTTAAAAATATTTTTATTTTAAAAATTAAAATTTGTTCATAAACTTGAATTACACTATAGCTACAATCGTGTTCCAAATAGAGTTACTCATGCTTTTTAAAAATATTTTTATTTTAAAAATTAAAATTTGTTCATAAACATATTTTTTAAACATAAAAATCAATAGTTTTGAAAGAATTGCTGTGAATTTTATGGCAGAGTCCGATGCTATTATTTTCTATTTCCACAACTTATTATTTTATTAATATAGATATTGATTAATTTTATAAGCTTTAAAGTTAATCTTTGTATTGTATGAATTTTTCATAACTCTAAATTTTACATAATTTACATTAATAATTTTTAAAAAATAAATTTAAAATTTAATAAGCTACTAGCTTCACCAGCCCAACTTCTGTTACTGCGTGAGAGGGTAACCCCAACAGGCAAGATTTCGCGAGTCTTTTCAACTATATCTGCGACAATCCACTCACGAATCCTGCAGTCAATTTCCAGGGAAGAAGATGACACCAGCATTAAGATGGCACCGTAGGACTCGAAATCATCGAGCATGAACTCTTGGTTCTTGGAGCTTGAACGCAAGCGAGATTGAATGGCAGAACCCAACTTGTCTTTTCGATCGATCAATTTCTTGACGCGCTAGCGACACGAGGATTTCTGGGATTTGAACACTCATAGCCATGTTTAATTAGATATCATGATTGTTTTGGAGGAGAATTGAAGAGGGGGAGACTTGGTTTATACAGTGTTGTTTAGGGAACTATGTCTTTTGAATACAGCATATCCTGAATTCCTCAGGAAATACTAGTTTTCAGCGTATCCTGGAAGGTTTTTGTTCCTGTTTATCAAGTAATAGAAAAGGAGTTCGGGTTACTGAAGATGTTTATTTTTATGTTTTAAAAATATTTTAATTTTTTTATTTTAAATTAATATTTTTTTGTATTGTTAAATTATTTTAATTCATTACTATTAAAAATAATTTTTTAAAAATAAAAAATTATTATTTTAACATTTCTGAATGATAAACAATTATAATTATATTCTCAAATAGGTTTAAGTTTTTTAAGAATTTATTTGTTTTTTTGTTAAATAAAGCTTTAAAAAATTGATTTTTTTTAATTATTTTAATATATTGATGTAAAAACCAATTTAAAAAAATATAATTTTAATATATTTATAAAAAATATTTTAAAAAATAATTATCATTATAATTTTAAATACCAAATAAGCATAGTTTCAGGCCAAACTTGAAAATGGCTGAATCATTGGGTTAGTGGGTTAAGTTGATCATTTAGCTAATTTTTTTCACTAAAACAAAGTAGTTTTATTTGAAGATGAAAAATGTTGTTTGTCTAATTAGTTTTAAATCAAGTTTAATCAATTTAATTAAATCATCAAAAATCTAGCTGGGTGAACCAAGTTTTACTAGATTAATATCTTACCAAAATCTACGGTTTTAAATCTTGAATTTTTCATGTGAATTTATAAAATGAAGTGAAGTTTAATAAATATTTTTTTAAGGTAATGTGAATGGATACACAACCCGGCAAAATGCAAGGAAGGTCCATATTTTTCTTTGGATATATTTTAATCAAATCCTTAAGGGGAAAGGGTGAGCATAACTTATACCTTGTGTGAAGAGGCTAGGGTATGCCTAATAGGTAATATATCTTTCCTCCACATTAAGAAAAATATGTTGTCGAAATTACCAATTACTGTCAATGCTTGATCAAGTTCCTTTTCAATGTAATTGCTTGAGTGTTGATGCATTCACAAGCCTATTATCATAGTCATTATTTTTTAAATTATATTTTATTTATAAATATATTAAAAAATATTTTTTTATTTTTAATTTTAGCATGTCAAAACAATAAAAAAAATATCAAAAAAATAATTAAAAAAATTTAACTTTTTTAAAAACACAATCACAACATAATACTACATGCCACAATATTACATGAGAAAATACAATGCTTTTCAACAAAAATTTCAACGACATCATTACCATTACCAGGTAAATAAATAATTAGCCATTAATTGCTTGGATGTTAATGCATGATTAATTGTGTGTCTAGGGTTGTGATGTGAGTAATTTTTATTATATTCATTTTTAATTTTTAATTTTAGCACATCTAAACCTTTTAAAAAAATGCTCAAAATAAACATTAATTTGAAATTTTTTAAAGCCAAACACACTCCAACATAATTTTAATTGGAAAAAAAAAGTGACTAAGTTTCCTGTGTCTTGGTGTTTAACACTGTATTTGGAAAATATTTTTAAAAAAATTTAATTTTTTTATTTTGAATTAATATATTTTTGATGTTTTTAAATAATTTTGGTGTGTTTATCTCAAAAATAATTTAAAAAAAATAAAAAAATATTATTAACAAATTTTTTTAAATAAAAAATATTTTAAAAAATAATAATAATACCACCCCCGACACACTATAAGTGTTTGTTGACAAAAGAAAGAGGAGGAAACAATCAAACCCATCAGACTAATATTGACCGCAGGATAGATCTTGTGGTGTTGAATGAACGTACGAGGTCCAAGCTCAAGTATGAATGGAAGGCGTTGAGCCACCACGGCCCATTACCCATGCATGAAAGAAAAAAGATTTAGAAACAAAATCACAATTGTATTAAAGAAGGGATAAATATATTAATAATAATAATAATAATCAATAGCAAGGATCCCATGCTGATTCAAGTGAAAATTAATTTAAACTCATATAATAGAATTATCATAATATTATTTATAATATATAGTCACATTCATAAATAAATCTTATAAAAACATTTTGAATTACCTATATTATCAAATTAAATTATAAAAAAATTTATAATTCAAAGTGATAAAAAAATAAAGAATAACACTGAAGGAATTTTTTTTAAAAAAAATTGTAAATATTTTAAATAATATTTTTTTATTTAACTTCGTAGGAACTAAATAATATTTTTATCATTGTACTTGAAATGTACGTAACAAAAAAAATATTCCCATCAAGTCAATAACTTTATTGTCAAGAAAATATCACCATTTCTAGCTCAAAAAGAAACGTTGACTTTGAAAATATAAAAAAGACTTTGATTGTTTTTTTGACCATTCTCTGTTTCTTTTAAGAGAAAAATTAAAATAAAAAACCCAACCAAGAAACAGTAACAGTGGATTGGACAAAAGCTCTCGCCGTTCCAAACAGCACCGGAAGTTGAACCTAACTAACCACTTGCCAGGAAAGAGTCTCGTGACGCACCAAGACCGGGTGAATTACAACGTAATCCTTATAGTATAGAAAAATAATCAAATAATCCTTATAGTTTTAGAAAATATGTATTTAGTCCCTATATTTTAAATTCACTTATATTATGGCTCTTTTGTCACTTTAGTTTTGCTTTTAGGGGATATGAGTGGTATTTTGGATATTGTTTAGGGGTGCGAGTGGAGTTTTATCTACACCCATCTCCCTTTCTTTCCGGCCTTCTTCCAACCTGCCTCCCCTCACTCACTCTCTCCCTCCCCCAAAAATAATAAAAATAAAAATCAGACTCTCACTCTCTATTTTCCAATCCCTCTACACTTGAATTGGGGGTTTCTAGATTTTGGTCAGCACATGGTAAACGTCAAGTCGTTTACAAAAAAAACCCTCAATTTTGCTCCAAGTTACAATGGATTCAAATTCTGTTGTGTTCGACATCAGCTCAGACGAAGAGCCGGCGATTGAAGAGCCCAAGGAGTTCGACGACGATTGTAACTGGTTGACGGAGCTGTTACGGACCGTTGACAAGGAGAAGGATGATTCTGATGAGGTTGTGATTGTCGGGGAGTATAATCCGCCGAAACCTAAGTCTAAGTCAAAGTCGTCGAATCAGGTGGCGGATATTAAGTTTGTTCTTGATGGTGACGATGATGATTGCGTTGTGTTGGGCGGTGATCCTGATAAGCCGGTTTCTGCTGTTGATGATGCCTGCCGGAACGAGACCGATAGTTCCGACGACGGTGATGATGTTCTTGTTGTTGCTGAAAAAGGCCAGGTAATTCCTTTCATTTTTTTAATAAAAAAAGTTAATGTGTGTAAATAAGATGGATTTTTTATGTTAGGGTTCTTGTGTGTTTGATAGAAATATAATTATGTGGTTTTGTTGGCGACGAATGGTGTAATTATTGTGTGTAGGAAATTGTTGTTGATTCTGTGTTGCAGTAGTGTGAAGGTGGAGGATGAGAAATTGAGAGGAGTAAGGGGATATGAAAGTGCAACCCCGCTGGCGATTTTACTATCAATTTGTTGTTTTTGAATGATGGCTTGTGCTCTATTCATTAAATGTTGGGATGATTATTGTTCTGTTGGAGGTGAAGGATTAGGGCTGGATTCCTTCAAGGAAGGTGAAAGAAAGGAAATTAAAATACATGAGCTATGGCGAAAGCTTCTCGAGCCTGTCATGAAGGGAGCTTCTAAACTGATTATTTGGGACTGCCTCACTGTTACTTAATGTGATAAGGGGTTTAATTGAGAAAATTACATTTCTTAAAGGTTGAGCATTTGGTTTTGGTTTTGAGATTATTCATGGAATCTTGGTTAATTTTGTTCATGATATTCACTCCCGTGTCACATGCAATGCAAGTTGTGTGAATCATTTAGGGACTTGGTTGGAAGTTACTTCTGGCCACTATATGTTCGGGTTCGTTCCCTGAATTTGTGTTCATTTTTAACATGTGAGAGGTTTGTTAACAGACTTGTAAACTACACTTGGTGGGTGTCTTTTTATTCTGTTTGTTGCTCATGTATTACTAGGCCAGACTTGTTCCTGGAGTTGTAATTTGATGTAAGACAGTCAATTTAACAAGAGGAATTATTCTTCAAGTGAGCTGCTTTGTGAATAGTATTTATTAGTAGCATCTGAAAAAGTAATTGAAATTTCTTAGGCTGCACAATTGTGTGATCCTGCTGGCTTCGCGTGCAGCATTAGAACTGTGCTGCACACTTACAAACAGAGGTTTAAAGCCTGTAATTTATGTTAATTTAGCTTGCATTCATTCATTGAAAAATAAAGTATTGCGCTCACTTCTGCACATACGCGGGATAAATAGTTGTAAAGCTTAAATGCTCAGAAAAATAAGAGCTTTCGGGCTATCAGATTGCCTATGACTATATATTAAAACTCTTAGAATGTAGATAACCTCAAGCTAGGACTCAATGGTGGAAATCCAACTCAACATTAAGCCTGGAAATTATTACCAAAATCAAGACTTGTGAATGAAGAGAACATAAATCAATGAAGTCAATTTCTTCCTAACCTAATTAAATGTGAAAATATGGTGTAAATCTGCTGATATGGACTTTGAAAACTCTTTAGCAGGCCTTCATCTGCTTGATAGAAGAACTCTAAATGTTGTGCATAATCCATGGATTTTTACTATTCCCTGTTAAACAATCAAAATGTGCCTGCTTGCAGTCTGATAATCTCTTTATTTTGGTAGCCCTAAATCCCATTTTTTCCCGTGTTTGGGCAAGAAGCTGTTGGTACTATTTCTCTGATGCTTACCTTCCTTTTTGCAGGTTGCATGTCGAGACTACCCTCATCCAAGACATCTTTGTGTTGAATTTCCTTTTGGTTCTACTCCACATGCAAGACATTGTCACCTGGCAAGTTTGCTCTAAGCTCTTCTGTAAAAGCCAAACATCAACTCTTTATAGTCAATACTTGCATTCTGCTATTCTGATTTCTGTGTTTCATGACATGCAGTGCCACTGTTACGTTTGTGACTCACTTGCACCATGTGTGCACTGGGGTACAGGTGTCTCTACTATTGACCATTGTCATGCCACTGATAAGCAGGAGATGTGGAAAAATCAGCGTAAAATTTATAGAACAGGGAAAGATGCTCCAGTTCCAGTTTCAAAACTTCCTGACGTTACTGTTCCAATGGCCTTGCCCCTACATAACCATTTAGGATCTCTAGATATTGTACCGCATAATCAGTCCTTGACACACAATCCTATGCTGCAGAATCAGGCTTCCAGGACACATAGGATCTGTTCTTGCTCCTCCTCCAACATGGGCATCATCAGAAACCGTAGAAGTCATCAACCAGGATGTGTTCTAGGCAGAAAATCTCTCTCAGTTTCACAACAAGCACTTGGTGTGCGTACTGATGTTCAGCGGGATAGACATCCTAATGCCTTAGGTCAGCGATTTGTCTCTTCTAGTACAATGTATAAAAGGCCAGGACTTGTTGCGCATGCTTTGGGTACAAACCATCCCACGCTTGTATCATTGAACATGAATTATGCTCCTGCTTCAGGATATGCAAGGAATGCTGCTCCTCTGGCTACATCAAAGGAAAATCCCTCTAGTTTGCATTATGTTTTACACAGTGCAAATTTTGAATCACAGACATACCAGAGCTCCCCCCAGCCCAACATGGGCAGTGTCATTGTAAATACCGTGCCTTCGAGATCTGAAGTAGGCTGTCAACCTAACCTGCAGTCAAACGATGGCCAAAGTCTTTATCAGCTTGGGAATCAAGGTGAAAATGATGCAGATTCGTTTTTTTCTGATTTTGACTTTTGTCACGTTAACAACTCAAGTCAAAGTGATCAGGGAGCTTCTATTGAAAATATTATTCATGGCACAGTTTCCAACAATGAGCCATCAACTGTTAAGCTGTTAAATTCTCAGTTTGCTGAAATTGAAAGTGCTCAATTCCACTACAAGGATCATGAGTTTGTTGATAGCTTTTTTTTAAACCAAGCTGTTCCAGTGGTTTCAGATGGTTTTGTGCCTCATGATCTGAATGGCTTTTCTCCTGAACGTCCTGCTATTGACACAGGTATGCTTTATTTAGATGAAAATTTTTGGAATGATCCGACACATGTCTAGCCATGGCCACTGCTTGTCTTAAGAAAATAAGCATAGATGATTGTTGCCGCTAATGCTTCACTAAATAAACATAATAGCTGTTATTTTTAAGCTGATTGTGTAAAATCCTTCTTGACAAAAATTGTACAAAGTTTATGCAACCAGTGATGCCTTTTTGAGGCTGGCTGTTATGTGTTCTTGTATTTATGAATCCAAATGTTAGATGAACAACTCTGCAAATTTTCTGTCACTCTTTTCCACTGGAACCTCTATGTTGGCCTCCATTTCCATCCATCCATTTTCTGCAATTCACGCAAGTCCAAGAGCTGGTCGTCCATCTTTCTTCAGCAGTCTATTTGCAGAACGCTAGAAGTATTGATGTTGCAATGTGATGAATGGTTATCAATCCTCGGCTGTTGGTAACCATTGATCCAGATGCAGGTGCTGTTAAGAAAGGTCCGATATGCGCAGGGCTGGGTCATGTGATAGTGTATGGCCACAGCTGGGTCAAGTATCAGTCTGTTGAGAGCCAGAAATGGTCTTTTATTTCCATAATCTGCTGTTGGTCACCAATGGTCGTCACGAGATGATTGTCATGTGTGAGACTCCGCTGACAGTGATAATCCCCTGTAGCATATTTTATTTTACTGGAAAAGAACGTAGCCTTATTAGTTATGAAGAAGCACTATGTTCTATGGTTGGTTCCATTTTATCGGCCTGAGAATTTTCACCAGCATTTCCTGAAACATTATGATCGTCTTGCCTGAAACCATGGATGGACTTGAACGAGGTCCTGACTGTTTTTCTGGATATGATGATGGACTTAATCGAGTTCCTCACTATTTTCTTGGTTTGAAGGGTAACTTGAGTTAATTTAATTTGTTTGTATTTTTGTTTTTTATTTGATTATTTTTTTTAAAAAAATATTTTTTAATATTAAGTTAAATGAGCATTGAGTGTTGTAATTTTTTTATGAGATTATGATTGATTTAGTTTAATTTAATATGTTTTTATTTTAAATATTTTTAAAAGAAATGTCTTGAAATTTTTTTATGTAAATTATATTTTTAATAATTATTTGAGTACAATTAAAAAAAATTTAAGTGAAAAACATATTATTAACATCTTACCTGCAGTTTTAGTGCCAAATAATAATCAGTATTTACTAAATGTGCAAAATCTAATTTTGATAAAAAAAAAAAAAAAACTGAAACAAATATGTGTCCCATAAGCTGCCATGGTTTAAATGATGAAAAGAAAGGACTTTTTCCTTCCATAATTGGGTCAAATTTAATTTAATTTCTATACATTAATTATTTAAACAAACTATATTTGTAATTTTCATATAAAAAAATAACAATTCATTGCAGTAAAATCTTAAAACCATAGGTGTTAAAATCTGTACTTAGATTTCTTTCAAACCAACCATCTACTAAAATTTAAGTGATTTATCTGCAATCTGATTAACTCAATTATATATATATATATATATATAATTAATTTGTTAATCCAAATTAATTTGTTAATCCTGACTCGAATCAGGTTTGATTCCATACCAAGTCAGATAATTACGCTAAAAAAAGAGGTACTGTTACTCTACTACAGACATTTGATTAGAGATATTTTGACTCGAGTGAGTCCATTGCAGATTAAAAAAAGTAATTATTGCAATTGAATAATACTAAATATTAAGGAATATAATAATAAAAAAACTTTAATAATGCGCATATAACATGAATTAGTAAAATCTATAAATAGATTCCGAATTAAGATCATGTGCATTTTGAAGTTTTTTATTATCTTTTTTTTTTTTTTGTATTTTCACTATATACTTCTTATTTATTTATATTCAATAATAAATAAAGTTACTGGAACACCTCGTAGGTCTCAGCTTCCGAAGCTTCATGAAAATCTCTGTACTGGCTGCGTGCGTGTGTGGTAGTCTAAAGAAGAGAAGTCCATAACACTGGACTACCTCTGTAAACCACGAGACAAAAACACAAACACCTTTCGTGTTCCAAGAAACGCCGACGGTTGCTGCCTCTTCTATTCATCAGTAGTCTGTGTCTCAGAGTGTCTTTCCTTCTGTGTGTGTCGTAAACAGCAATTAGGGAAATGGCGCTGTGGATGGAAGCAGGGTCAGAACCCAAAACAGAGAGCGAGATTGCTGACCTCCTAGCCATCTCCGCTCTTAAACACTCTACTGCTCTTGAACTTAAGGTAATTATTTGTTAATTTATCTCTTCTTCATCTTTTTCAAGAATTACTGCTATTATTTTTATTTCCGTTCAGATTCTTGAATGCCCATGATTTTTTTTTTGAAGGAGAAAGGTAACGAATATGTGAAGATGGGCAAGAAGCATTACTCTGATGCTATCGAATGCTACACGAGGGCGATAAACCAGGAAGCTCTTAGCGATTCTGACAACTCAATCGTTTATTCCAATAGAGCCCATGTGAATCTACTGCTCGGAAATTACCGGCGAGCTCTTACAGATGCTCAGGAGGCTATTAAGCTTTGCCCCACCAACGTGAAGGTAGTTTTATATTTGTTGTTGTTATTATTATTATTATTTTTTTTTTATCTCAAGTCCTTCCTTAGCTTGCTTTATTTTCTGGAAATTGCTTTGATGTTCTGGTCTACTGTGAATCATATGGTTTAATTACTAGGCAATGTATCGAGCTGCCAAGGCATCTCTGTCATTGAGTTTGTTGGTGGAGGCAAAATCTTTTAGTGAAAATGGACTCGAGCAAGACCCAGATAACGAAGAACTGAAAAAGCTTGCCAAGCAGATAAATTTAGTGAAGATGGAACATGATAAACGTGAGGCTGAAATTTCAAAGGCTGTGTCAGAGGCTAAGGTTCCATTTTTGAACTTTTAGAATGAATGATGAGCTGTAAACGATAGGTAACAATCTTTTCTCTACTTCAAATGTTCAGGACCTACTTTCTGCCATTGAAGATAGAGGGTTGAAGGTGGGGAAGGCAATGTTTGGAGAACTTGTTGGATTGAGGAAACCAGTACTTGATAAAAATAAAATGCTTCATTGGCCGCTTCTTCTTCTGTATGCGGAGGTTATGTCCAGTGACTTCATTGAAGACTTCTGTGAAACAGACATGTTTTCGGCCCATCTTGACATGATATCCATTTTATTAGCATTCTTTGTTTTTATTACCATATGTCCTAATAATTTGCATTTAATGTTCCCTGCCCTTATATATATATATATATATATATATATGCATTATATGATATCCTTAGCTTTCAAACATGTTCTCAGAAAGTTGCCCGCCATTGCCATGGGATACAGAAAACAATTATACCCGTGAAGCTGTTGAATTATACTATGAGGTAAGCTCTTTCTAGTCATAGCAATGCTCACAAATCATCTCACTTGTTATTTGACATTGCAGTGTTCTATCAAGAGATTTAATCATGATCCTCTTGCTATTGTGCCGTGTGCAGAATAATCTTATGTATTAGGGCTTGCTAATATTGTGTTTGTTTTGTGTGCGTATTTGGAGATAAGGCTGCATATATTTTTAAACTGCTAATTATTTTCAAACATGAGATACCCCTTAGGCGTTTTGAGTGCTACATACTCATTATTTTGAAGTAATGTTCAGATCATAATGATTTAGAGATGATTATCTGTCCGGAAGTTCATATACATCAGACTGACAATATTATATAGCAGTGGGTTCCATATGTAGCTTTGGTGATGACTCTTTACTTCATTTCTAATTACTGCTCTTCATTCATCAGGCTGGTTCTGGAGTTCCTTTATCCAAGAAAAAAATTCTTCATTATCTACTAGATGGGACCTCGGGTGCCAATGTGGAGAGTGTTGATGAAGAGAAGGACGCCATTGAAAGTCATGGTTCAGGTATCATAAAGTTTTCTAATATTCCCGTATGAAGACTGTTCTTTTCAAGCAAGCTTGATCACTTGATTTTGTTTCCACTTTCCAAGGAGAAGGGGATTGCAGCCACTCTATACCTGCTGTATTTTGTTGTTTGCTGTTGCTTCTTGCTTATCAGTTCCATGTATGCTGTAGACTGATAACTTCTGGTATGCCAAAACTGAGGTCTTCAGTTGGGGGTTGGGATCAACTGACTTGTACCAACAGCTATCATTTAGCGGTTTGTTCCTTCTGTCCTTGATGGATAGGAGGGCCTCTGTTAAGCATGTGGATTGTGTTCTTTAGTTTCTAACATTCTTGGTTGTGATTCCCTAATAATCGTATTCACTGAACCAAATCGAATGGAATGACGTGTCACCCTGTCATCAATGTTGGCCAAATAAGAATAGTTTCCTTTAAATTCATGCTAGCCAGCTGCATTATGTTGACTCTGTCACAGAATTTGTCAGAAACCATTTTATTGTAAGAATTAAGGAATAGTTATCTTTAGAAACATGCTAGTCAAGTGGATTATGTTGACCACAACTGTTTTATTGGAGGAACTAAAGAATGATGCCTTGAAATGTTGAATACTGTGATACTAGATAAGTTATTAGGCGCGCCTGCTTCTCCAATGGCTTCATTCTCTAATTTCAAGTTTCCATACCTTGAAACATGCTTATCTTGCTAAGACTGATGATATAGGTTGATGTGTTATTATTTAATTAGTTTGGTCCACATTCACAATTGTTAGGTAGCCAAAACTAAGGAGGTTGAAATCAAAGAACCTCTGCTATATAATCAAAGAACATGTTCTATATACTTGCCAGAGGAAGTACTAACTGTCAAGGAGTGAAAACTACGAGGAACTAGCTAACTACTGGTGTTGGTACAAGTCATGTTTCTTTTGACCATTTATTTCGCATCAACATGGATTGTTTTATTTATTACCCAGGTGAATGTATCTAAACTTCTTCTGTTTAACTTTCCAGGAAAGGTATCTTCAAAATGGGTAAAAGTAAATGAAAAGAGAATGCTTTGTGATGTTTTGAAAGAACCTGACTTCATAATCTCTGGGATCCCAGGTCTGTGTTATGTTCTTGACAATTTTTGTGTGCATAAGTTCAGCCATTTTATTTCCATTTCGTTTTATTTCTCTCCATTCAATTGTGATACGTGCAGTTTTTTATGTCGTTTCAACACGCTCGAGCTTCTATAAAGAGTTCAAAGCTGGCAAGTGGTCTCTTCCACCATGAGCAAGTTGTGTCTGGACGGTGACTAGTGACACTGGTTTTCGAAGGTTGTTGACATCCACTAATGAGTCAAAGCAAACTACCTCGATGGCACCTAGTACCAGCCACAATTTCATTGTTCAGGATTGTAGATGCAAACCAACCATAAAAGTATCACTGCGGTCAGCAGCCCGAACACCGTGTCTGGAAAAACAAGGGTGTCATGTATCAACTGTTCAGGCTATCATGCTGCTTAAATTTTCTCATATCAAGAACCATTGAAATTGATTACTTACTGCTTATTTTATATGGATAGCCAGAGCTGAAAGCGCTCGAAAGATATGTAATGAGGCTCCTGTAGCCCAACTTTTGCTAGTCCACTGTTGTTGCACCATTTGCAATTGTTATTTATCAATATATTGACCCAAATCTTCTGTGTTTTTTTTCTCTCCCTTAAATGCAACTCCAACCAAGTAAGTTCCTTGGGGAAAAAATGGAAAATCTTGCCTTTTTTTTATGACATTCTGTACCCTTCCAAATTCTTCTGAACTTTTCTTAAAAAAGAATCTAGTGGTGGCAAATCAGGCATTATCTTTGATACTTGATTTTCATAATGACATGCGCCAAGATCCTCCCTTAGTCGAAGAAGGAATAAAGGGAAATCGGTTACGAAGTCGAGTCTACGAGTATTTGTGTCAAAATGATATTCTATTCAACCCTTGGATCTCCTTGGAATCTCCTTCAACCCATGAATCTCTCTATCTTTCCTCTATAAAACAAACCCTACATCTTCCATTGAACAAGCACGCACACAGCCATTTTTCTTCCCTTTCTATTTACAATGGCTGCTCTAACTTGCTCTGCCTCTGACCTCCACTCCTTACTAGGTGGTGCTGCCAATGCCACGGCAGCTGCTGAGTACATTTGTACTCGCTTTGTTGCGGTTTCAGACCATTTTGTTGACACAGCCTATGCTATTGACAACACTTACCTTCTTTTCTCTGCCTACCTTGTCTTTGCCATGCAACTTGGCTTTGCCATGTTGTGTGCTGGGTCTGTACGTGCCAAAAATACCATGAACATTATGCTAACCAATGTTCTTGATGCTGCCACTGGTGGCCTTTTTTATTACCTTTTTGGTTTTGCCTTTGCCTTTGGGAGCCCTTCCAATGGATTCATTGGCAAGCAGTTCTTTGGCCTTGAAAGTTTCCCATCACCTTCTTTCGACTATGGCTACTTTCTTTATCAGTGGGCTTTTGCCATTGCAGCTGCTGGGATCACTAGTGGATCCATTGCTGAAAGAACACAATTTGTTTCATATTTGATATACTCCTCATTCTTGACTGGTTTGGTTTATCCTATTGTCTCTCATTGGTTCTGGTCAGCTGACGGTTGGGCTAGTGCTGGTAGAGCTGATGGTAATCTTTTATTTGGATCTGGGGTCATAGATTTTGCTGGTTCTGGTGTTGTGCATATGGTTGGAGGTATTGCAGGGCTCTGGGGTGCTCTCATTGAAGGCCCTCGAATGGGCAGATTCGATCATGAAGGCAAGTCGATGGTTCTCCGTGGACATAGTGGTACATTGGTTGTTTTAGGCACATTCCTATTGTGGTTCGGGTGGTATGGTTTCAATCCAGGTTCATTTCTCAACATCCTAAGAACTTATGGAGATGTTGGTTCTTATTATGGCCAATGGAGTGCTATTGGTAGAACAGCCGTGACAACAACACTTGCAGGGAGCTCTGCTGCACTAACCACTCTCTTTGGTAAACGCGTGCTTGCTGGAAACTGGAATGTGACTGATGTCTGCAATGGTTTGCTAGGTGGTTTTGCAGCAATCACCTCTGGATGCTCGGTTGTAGATCCATGGGCAGCGATCGTTTGTGGATTTGTTGCAGCTTGGGTCCTAATTGGCTGCAACAAGCTGGCAGATAAATTCCATTATGATGATCCTTTGGAGGCAGCACAACTTCATGGAGGGTGTGGTGCATGGGGTATTATCTTCACTGCATTGTTTGCAAAGGAAACATATGTCAACGAGATTTATAGTGGGAAACCAGGGAGGCCATATGGACTGCTTATGGGAGGTGGTGGAAGGCTCTTGGCAGCACACATGGTCCAGATTTTGGTGATCACAGGATGGGTGAGTGTGACAATGGGAACATTGTTCTGGATACTGCACGAATTCAAGCTTCTGAGGATCTCAGCGGACGAGGAGATGGCAGGAATGGATTTGACAAGCCATGGTGGATTGGCATATGCATATTGTGATGAACATGATGATGCCATGCAGAAGAAATCATTTATGATGACAAAGGTGGATCCCTAGGTTGTTTGATTTAGTTTCAGGAACTGCATTTGATCTTTAGTCTTCTTTTTCGTTGTCTTAGCCTGCCTGTCAAGACTAGGAACCAATGAATTAACTCAAGAGGAATTTGGATGGATGATGAATTCCTTTGAGAAATCAGTATTGGAATCTTAAAAATCTGGATTTTATTGTTTAATTATTTCTTTCTAAGATGGATTATGCTTTAAATTATGAAAATTCTTCCCCTATAATGACATCATCAAGTGTCTTTCCTCGATCAACAAAAGGCATCAACAAGTTAGCAGTCGCATGTAGGTGTGGCTTTCTCTTGACACTTCAAATGAAGGATCTCATGATGATTACATCAAGATTTGGTCAACGTCTTCAAAATTTCTGCTGCCTGGGATTTTTGGAAAAGATTTCCCACAACAAGAACTATAAAATAGCAACCTCGTGAACAAGGCAAGGCAAGGCATGGCCTGGCATGGCGGCACCTGCTAATTGCAACAACTGTTCAAACCATTCAAGCACCAACACAAGCATTCTATTTACTGAGATAATAACCAAATACAGATGAGAAGGGACATCTCAAATACTCCTATTTTATTCGAAATCTATATTAATTGTATAAAGCAATTGGAATGCTATTTTTAAGTTCTAACTCCACCCACGCATGTTAAGTAGACTTGCCCTGGAATCAACTCCACCGAAACAATGTGCAATCATGCCCAAAGACTTTCCACTTCCCACTGGTAATCTTCATCTTTCTCAAACAACACCTAGCTGCTTTTTTACTTCGTCTTCATGATCAGTATACACGTAAGCAAGCCCACCATGGCTTGTCAAGTCCATTCCTGCCATCTCTTCTTCTGCTGAGATCCTCAAAAGCTTCAGCTTATGCAGAACAAAAAACACTGTCCCCATAGTGACACTCACCCAAGCCACAATCACCAAAATCTGCACTATATGTGCAGCTAAGAGCCTGGCGCCACCTCCCATAAACAGCCCATATGGCCTCCCTGGTTGACCTGGATAAACCTCATTAACATAGGCCTCCTTTGCAAACAATGCAGTAAATATAATCCCCCAAGAACCACACCCTCCATGAAGTTGTGTTGCCTCCAAGGGATCATCATAATGGAACTTCTCAGCCAACTTGTTGCACCCAATAAGAACCCAAGCAGAGACAAAACCACAAAGAACTGCAGCCCATGGATCGACAACGGAGCACCCACCAGTTATGGCAGCAAACCCACCAAGCAAGCCATTGCAAACATCAGTAACATTCCAGTGACCAGCTACCAACCTCTTGCCAAATAGAGTGGTCAGTGCAGCTGTGCAGCCTGCTAGAGTTGTGGTCGCAGCAGTTCTACCAATAGCACTCCATTGTCCATAATAAGAACCACTTTCATAACTTTTCGAGATGTTGATAAAAGAACCAGGATTGAATCCATACCAACCAAACCACAACAAGAAAGTACCTAAAACAACCAATGTGCCACTGTGTCCACGGAGAGTAACAGCACGACCAGCATGATCAAACCGGCCGATACGGGGACCTTCAATGAAGGCACCCCACAAACCAGCAACAGCACCAACCAAATGGACCACACCAGAACCAGCAAAATCAATAACACCAGAACCAAACAAGAGATTTTCTGCTCTTGCAGGGCTAGCCCAGCCATCCGCGGACCAGAACCAATGTGAGACGATAGGATAAACCAAACCAGTCAAGAAAGAAGAATATACCAAATAAGCAACAAACTGAGTTCTTTCTGCTATAGAACCACTTGTGATTCCTGCTACTGCTATAGCAAAAGCCCACTGATACAGGAAATAACTATAATCAAACGATGGCGATGGGAACTTGCTCAAGCCAAAGAAGTGTTGGCCAATGAATCCATTTGATGGTGAGCCAAAAGCAAGAGCAAAACCAAAAGTATAGTAAAACAGACCACCGGCTGCAGCGTCAAGAACATTCGTCAGCATGATGTTCATCGTGTTCTTTGCTCGGACAGAACCAGCACAGAGCATGGCAAAGCCAAGCTGCATTGCAAAAACCAAGTACGCAGAAAAAAGAAGGTACGTGCTATCCACTGCGTATCCTGTATCAACGAATTTGTTTGAGATAGCCTCAAAACGGCCACAAATGAACTCAGCAGCAGCCGTGGCATTGGCACCATCGCCCAGAAGGGGGTAGAGGTCAGAAGCTGAGCATGATAGAGGCGATGATGCCATTGAAAGGTGATGTAAGTTCTCTTAGTGCTTCTGCCAAAAGGTATGTTGATGATGCATGGTGGGGTTGGTGACTAAATATAAGTAGGAAGGGAAGGACCATGGAAAGAATCTGATGGTGGGGACTTGCTGTTTATGGTATCCGGATATTCATGGCAAACTATGGGTGGCTATTTGTTGGCCGTTGACTGTATATTCTCTTTGGCTAAATAAAGCCTGAGGTCTATTTCTGGCTCCTAGAAACGATAGAAATGAGCTGTATCCTCTGCTAATTCCCAATTTTACTGTTCAACAACAACAGCAACATATACTAATAAAAATTCAAAAAAAATAAAAAAAATAAAAAAAATTATAAATATATAAGTGAACTTTAAATTAGTAGAATAGAAGATACGAAGATCCAGAGGGAGAATAAAAAAGAATAACATGATTTCATATTTTTCTATAACTAAATATATATATATCTTTTTTTTTTGTGAAATATTAACTGGTTAATCTTTTTTTAAGATTATGATTTAATGGCTAGTGTGTATTTTTATATTTTTTTTCTTCTCATATTCTTTTATACTTAGTGTTGGTTTGCATTTCCTCCATGTTATGGGTTGAATTAAAAAATATTTAAATACAAAAAAAGAATATTCAAGCTAAAGAGAAATATTTGATATTATTATTAAATCTAATTTAACGAGTTAAATTTTAAAACTTTCAATTTAAATCGTTATCGAGTTTATATTTTCAATTAAATTATATGAAATTTATTTTAATGTGATCCGGTTTATTTAGTGGGTTTAAAAATAAATAAAAATCAAAGAAAAAAAATGTGTTTAAAGGCAATGTGACGACCATTAAAAGGGATTTGACATTTTTTTTCTAATACTAAGATAATAATATATTAGATCAATTCTAATCAATTTAAGTTAACTTATCAAATTTATAATCTGAGTTGTGGATTTAAATGGGTTCAATATTATTTTTTTATTTTAATTATATAATAAAAATAAAAATTAATCCAAAATCAATCTAATATTAAAGGTTGAAATTAAAAAAAATAAAAATAAAAAATTCATAAAAAACTTAATGTTAAAGGTTTTTCTTAAAAAAAAAAAAGTCAAGCCAAACGCGCGTTTAAGTTAGGCAATTTAAATAACTCATAAAAGACGGTTTGACTTTTCAAAAAACAAGTAAAATTAATGTTTTTTTTAATTGATTGTGATATTGGTTGTGGATTCTAATGGTTTAATAATATTTTTTATTTTAATTATATGATAAAAAAATAAAAAATGATTCAAAATTAATATGATATTAAAATATAAAGTAAAAAAATAATAAAAAAAAACTCAATATTGAAGATACAAAACCTTAAAAAATCCAAAATTTATAGGTCTAGATAAGCCTGCACTCATAGGCAATATTATTTTTATATAAGGGATTGAAGATAAAAACACCCAATAAATATCATTAAATTCTTTTTAAATTATTTAATAACTTTAAAATACTTAAAAAAACCAAAATTAACTTAATCTAAAAAAATCAAAATGAAACATGATTTCTTTTACACATGTTTATGGAGAAAACTTATAATCATTAAACTTTTTTTCATGTTAACAATAAATTTAATATTTTTATTTTGGTATCACAATAACCAATTATTTTCTTACTATTCATTATTTCGCGATAACATTATCTCTCTTCTTTTTAATTTAAAAAATGAAAAATAAATAAAATAAAATTTTCATGAAGTTAGGATGAATCATATATTCTCTTCATGTTTTTATTTGGGTTGAACGTCATATAATTCGACCCTAAAATAATGCAATTGAAAGGGGAAAAAAATGCAGAAGGTTTAGTGTTCATATGAACAATGGCTGACTTTTAAATTTGAGGTGAGTTATGCATTTTTTTTCATGTTTTAATTTGGAGTTTAATCTCAAATAATTAGACCATAAACTAATAAAAATCTAAAAAATGAAAATAAAAAAAGGTTGAAGGTCCACATTCATATAAACAATAAAAAATCTTGGAGAATTAATAGAATCTACAGAGAATTTTATTTCAAAATCATAATAATCTAACGATTTATGCGTATTCTTGAATTTATTATTATTATTATTATATGTTTACCATTAATCATTTAGTTTGTGTTGATTTTTTTTTATATGTAATCAAGGAAATGCATAATTATTATACCATAATTATATTTATTATTTCCATTTAAAAAAATCGAGAAATTGAATCGCTGCACCATTTTCGATTTCTCATCTGGCTTTCAATAATTGCAGGATTCACTTGTTGGGGGGGACGGCCATTGATTCCACAAATACATCTTGGGAAAAGGGACCCTAATTTATTTTAAAGGGGCAAGAGTCTGTGCGCAGATGGGATTCCATGCATCTTGGTTCTTGACAGAGAAGGTAAATTAATTATTTAATCTGTGTTTTCGGTTTCAGAATTAGTCATTAATTGACTTCCTAGCAGCAATTACAGTCCATTGCCACCCTGTAATTAGCATTTTGGTTGCACAATTAGCCATAAATTTACTACTTACAGTTCATTGCCACCCTAAATTTATACTGACTACTTGGCCTAAATTCAATGGATACCCAATTGAATTTAAGGTTTTATATACAAATGTTTTTCACTTGAAAATATTTTAAAATAATATTTTATATTTTTTTAATTTTTAATATTAATATATCAAAATCATCCAAAAAAACATTTTAAAAAACAACAATTTGATATTTTTAAAATAAAAAATATTTTAAAAAAATATTAAAAAACAAAAATTACCACATTTTCAAACACTTATATCTAGTTGCTGGGATATATCTCCAAATTAAATGCCAAACTTTTGGAGATATTTGGACGGACCAAGTAAATTTAGGATATAAATAAACTTACGTAGTCGGAGTAATAGAGATGAATACATGAAATAAAGAAATTTTTGAAACAATTTTAAAATGATTTTTTATCATTTCAAAACAAAAATAAATAAATAAAAGACATATTCTCATTGTCCTAATTATTATGTTATTTCTGAACACTAACTAAATACCAAGATTACTCTTTAAAGAAGATTCCATTAACGCCTGATTCTTGAGATAGGATACACTGCTAACTGATGGAGTGCACTGTATGGCAATCCCGAATGCTCACTGGAACTTTTGTGTGTTTGGAATGAAGGTTTAAAAGTGTTCTTTATCATATAGTTTATCGTTTCTAAAAATATATGAAAATAATTTTTTTTATTTTTAACATAAATACGTAAAAATTATTAATTTAATATTTTTTCAAAGTCAAATATATTTTTAAAGAACACAAGTTATCCCAGTAAAAATTATTAATTTAATATATTTTCAAAGTCACATATATTTTTAAAGAACACAAGTTATCCCAAAAACAATCTGGTTCACAAGGTCAGATTTCCAAGTCTTGAAAACTGGATCAATTAATAGGTTTAGTGGAGGATTCATCTATCACTTTCGGAGGTTAGTTTCACAATTTTCATCTTCTCCTCGTGTTGTTCATAAATCTTGAGCTGCAAATGAGTATCCATTCACTTCAAAATCTGCACGACAATCTCTCCTGCCGTTGCCTCAATTGGAACAGGTTCTGGTTGCTCATGTCTTCACCAGCATGCCTGCTGAAAGGATTTTTATGCGCTATGGGATGGCAGGAAGTGAAACTGCAAGTAGTTCCATTAGCACCAGGCCTCTGTCGACTAGGTTGGTGCTAGATGCCGAAGGATGTTAACCATTAACTAAAGTAAATATACATATGCACAACATACCATTATCCAGGAGCCATAATTATTTCCGGCAAAAAATCAGTCCTTCCATCAGACAATTCAAAAGGTCGGATCAACACACAGATGCTTCAGTTATCATCATACTGTGACATTGCAATAAGTAACACAGATATTCATTTAACACAAACACAGCAAACATACCATCCTCATCCATAAAAAACCTCAAGATTCTATCAACATTTCAATAAGTTACAGCACCACCTTTCATACAAGAGCTTATAAGTACATTGTGCACACGATTCTTATTTGATGCATAAAATCCTTGCGCTGAACAGGTTTTTTTCTTTTCCATTCAACCAAAAAGAAAAGAAGGCAACAGCACAGCACATCGCATTCCCTATAAAATAAGGCAGGCAGGCCATGAAATGCCATGGGACTTAACCTTAGACTTGCATATCAAGCACGCACCGGAGGCAGCTACCTTCATGCAGCAGATCAAATGCCTTGTTCATCTCTGGAAGAGTCAGATTATGGGTGATGTACTCATCAACCTTAATTTCCTGTGATAAGAGTGGATAGGATAACTCAGCATCCTGTTTAGTTCAAGTATTGAATGCACAAGGAAATATATAGTTACATGATATGCTCGAACCTTTTTCATGTACTTGTCTACGAGCAAAGGCACCTGTGAACGGCTCTTGAAACCACCAAAAGCTGTTCCTTTCCAAACACGGCCAGTCACTAACTGGAAAGGACGGGTGCTTATTTCCTGGCCTGATGCTGCAACCCCCACAATAACCGAGGTTCCCCAGCCCTAAAAATTTCCAGGCAAGTCACAAGTGATCTCTAGATAAATACATGACTATTACCACTAATTCATGCATACTTGCCTTATGACAGCACTCCAAAGCAGCCCTCATTACAGAAACATTTCCGATGCACTCAAAACTATAGTCAACACCACCATCAGTGAGATCAGTGAGCACCTGCTGAATTGGTTTATCATGGTCCTTTGGATTCACAAATTCAGTAACTCCAAAATCCTTTGCTGTTGCATAGAAATTTACAAATATTAATTAAGACAGTCGTCTAATAATGATGTCTATTGATATAAGCATCTTTCCTCCACAGCTTGGAAACAGATAATCTCTTAGGCTAGATAAAGCAAGGAAGATGACGCTGGAAAATCGACACTCCCATATTCCACATTAAAAGGCAGTTCTGATATGTAGATATGTTTCCTTTCAAGTAATAGGTTTTGGAGGCGTTTATTTGAGCCACAGTTGAAATGCAGTGCATTAGGCATGGAGGTGTGCTAATTTAGTTATAATACACCACCCCATCAGCATAGCAATTTTAAGCATATCCATGTCATCCGGTATAAGACATTTTATTTTCCTACTAGTTGCCAATTGAATGGACCAGCAGACAACGAACTACAACCATGTGTGTGGGGATTCAGGAAGGGAGAGGGAGGAAAGGAAGTGGAAGTATATGAAGGGAGTTGAGGGGAAGAAAAAGGAAGGAAAAATGGGAGTTCAGAAATATTTTTTGGGTTACAGCAAGGGTG